AGAGAGAGAGAGAGAGAGAGAGAGAGAGAGAGAGAATGTTTTAAGGAGCGGGTTGTTCCAGCACGTGAGACATGTATTTACTAATGATCTGTCTTGTTGTGCGTATGCGTGAGTGCTCCTAACCTTTGTAATGTCTACTCGCATTGTTAACGACCAAGACAAATTTCTCCCTGCGAGGTGAATAAAGATTGTCATTGTCATTGTCATTGTCAAAACCCATCTGGAAAGAAAAACAACCAACAAAGCGAATAAATACAAAGTAGCGTACATGCACTTTTATTGTATCGCACAGAAGCTGTTACTAGTGCATGAGATAATTATTGTGTAAGCAAGTTGGGTTGGGTTTTTTTTTTCTTATTTACAAATCATTGAATGAATACTCTCAAGTAATGTCAAGCAAGTATCGGTGACACGGGGATCAGATAGGTGGTCACTGGGGTGTGTCCTAGAGCAAGACACGACAACCCTAGCTCAAAATACGGGGTGCTGCACAGTGGCGACTGACAGTAATGGCTGTAAACTATTCTATATTTGTGTAATATTGTGTATTTATGTATGTATTTATACACGTATTTATGTTTGTACGTATTTACAATTATATATTTATATTTGTAAATGTATGTTTGCCATTTTAAACCAAAGTGCCCTTCTGGGATAAATAAAAAGTGTAATTTAATGTATTTTTTTTAATGGACATGGGTAAAGAGGATTATTCAAGAGATGAGAGTAAACGCTTGAATCGTTCTGTAGATTCAAGCCCCCAAACTTCCCAAAGTAAGCGAAAGTTTGTACCCTTGAGAGACACATCAGTGTCACCCCCTCCCAACCCTTTCCCAAAGAAAGAGAAAAATAAAAGCCCGAAAAACACAAGCACATTCACAAACCTTTTCTCTTCATCCAACCACCATTGTGTACAGCTTTTCGGAAAAGGGCTAATTGGGGTGTAAAATGTTTTGGAAATGAGGTTTGCTTTGGTGGTGGGTTTTTTTTAAGATTTGTTTGGGGTTTGTTTGTTGGGGGTTTTTCTGTGAGTGTGTGAGTTTTATTATTTTTTAAAAACAGAATTCCCTTTCATTCACGACTCATTCTGTGGCTTTGAAACTCTTTCAAAAATATGACAAAACGGCGTGAACTGCTCATCTCCAGACAATTTGACACTGTGCCCAAGAAACTTGCAGCCGCCAATCGACATTAACTTTTTACAAACGAAAGAAGGAGGAGTTCAGGTCGCCCTGCCCTTTGCAATTTGCGACCCTGGTCTCAATTTTCTCCCTCGCACGATCGTTCAATAATGAGACAAGTCGTAATGTTTTTTGTTTTTTTGTTTTTTTAAGGCGTCTCTGTCTGCAGCACTGATCACACAATAATTATGATGATTCCCCATCTCTTTCACACTGTACCGGGGAAGGAATAAAGGGATGCGAGAGAGCGAGAGAAAGAGAGGGACAGACAGACAGACAGACAGACAGACAGACAGACAGACAGACAGACAGACAGAC